CGTTGTTTAGAACTGCTAGAAGGAGCAAGAACGAGAGGAACCATATTTTGGGTGCTCCCGGCGTGCAGAACCACGATGGGGAGTTGAAGGTGGAAGACAGGTTAGAAGTGTGGAGGGCGTACTGTGACCGTTTGATGAATGTAGAGAATGAGTGGAATGGAGAAGTTGAAGCGGATCAAGTTTTGGGGCCGTGGGAAATAGTGACTGTTGATGAGGTGGCGGCGGCTCTGCGCAAGATGAAGAAAGGAAAGGCGACGGGACCGAGTGAAGTGGGTAGCGAAATGTTGGACAATGAACTATGTGTGAGAGAGTTGTGTAATGTAGCGAACGAGGTTTTGAGGGGCTCAAAGATGCCGAGTACATGGAGAAAGAGTCTAGTGGTCCCGCTGTACAAAGGAAAAGGAGCAGCGACGGTATGTGGGAATTACAGGACTATTAAGCATATGGAGCATGCGTTGAAGATAGTAACGAGAGTGTTTGAAAGAAGGTTGAGGGAAGTTGTTCGAATGGGGGAAGAGCAGTATGGATTCATGCCGGGGAGAGGAACGACGGATGCGTGTTTTGTGTTGAGGCAGCTGCAGGAGAAATTTTTGGAGAAGGACAGAGAATTGTATATGGTGTTTGTAGATTTGGAGAAGGCGTAGTAGAGTTCCGAGAAAGGTGATCGAGTACGCGCTGCGTAAGAAAGGTGTGACAGAGAATATGGTTCGGGCAGTTATGGAGACTTATGAAGGTTTAGAGGCGGTGGTTACGGAGGAAGGTGTTAGATCTGGTGTTTTTGAGGTAAAAGTTGGTCGATAATGTGTGGGAAATGCAGTAAGTGGGTTCATGGAAGATGTTCAGGTGTCCGTGGTGCATTGACAAGAGTAACTGATTTTGAGTGCGGGACGAGTCGAAGTGGTGGGCGAGTCACGATTGAACGGTTTGAACTGGGTGACGTGAGTTTGGAAGGTGTATCGGAGTTTAAACATCTGGGCGATGTGTTAAATGATGGTGGAGGGTGCGAGCAAGTGGTGAGGAACAGAGTTCAAGCAGCGTGGTGGAGATTTAGAGAGTTGTCGGGAATGTTGTGTGGAAAGTCGACTTCGTTGAAACAGAAGGGAGAATTGTATAAGGCATGTGTTAGAAGTGTTTTGGGATATGGAGCAGAGTGTTGGGCGCCGAAAGCAGAGGACCTGAGAAGATTGGCGTCGACGGAAAGGAGAATGCTTAGGATGATGTGTGGTGTAACGTTGATGGATAGGATTCGAAGTGAAGAGATTAGAGAAAGAGTAGGTGTTGAGTGTATCGAGAATTGGGTAAGGCGCCAGCGTTTGAGGTGGTTTGGGCATGTGGAAAGGAGGGAAGAAAGTGCTGAAATTCGTAGAACGTTGCATATGAATGTTGATGGAGTCCGCAAACGAGGTAGACCGAGAAAGAGATGGATGGATGCTGTGAACAGTGATATGAAGGCGATGGGTATAACGAGAGATATGGCGAGAGATAGAGACGTGTGGCGTGGAAAAATTCATGGACCGGTCAACCCCCCTAGCGGGGATTAATACTGGCCGGTATACAAATGTTGTTTGTTTGTTTGTTTGTCAGCATGCCTGTAGGTTGATAATCACACAACATTCTGTTCATTTTAATATATTTGGGTATGAAATAACGACATTAATGTGTCTGCATACCTTTTCATCCCCTGGTGACCCTTTCCTGGACATAAATATATATTCAAAAATATATTGAATGTTGAATTGTTGAAATTTATGAATATATTTACGTAGTTACATACACGTCGTGTTCTTTGCGTGTTATATGTTCAAGGTCTAGAAGATATTTATATGTATACAATAAAAACAGATGTTTGTTCACCTTTGAATTAATTGTCTGTTTGTGTATATATATGGATATATCAGGATGCATTTGAATGTGAAATAATCTTTACTTAAACGTTTTTCAATGATTACAGTTAGTTATAATGATGTTATGGAATATAAATGGAGATTCTTTACCATTAAGTTCATTTTTCGATACTCCTAATAATTCTTTTCCCATGGTAGTTGGAAAGAGATGCTTTCGTACAAGCGCTATCCAGGTTCACTTTACTTACTGCGACCAGTGGCACTCATATTCATGAAATGAAAACGAAGAACATCGAGACGATCAAGATACTTCTTACCATCGCTCAAACGGATGGCAATTACATCGGGAAATCTTGGCTCGAGGTAGAGAGAATCATCTTGCTATATATTATGGTTGGTGTCTACGACTGAAAATATGATCAATTGTTTTTTTCATCAAAGGAAAAAGTCTAGGTCTTGTCTGTAGTGGAAACTTCACGATATTGCTACAGTCTTTACTTTTCATTTTTCCAAGTGCTTTGTTGACCGTATTTCATACCCTTCATCAGAGAATCGTATCACAAATGTACATCTGTAATAAATATGCATAAGAAAATGAAGTTTTTTCTCAAGATATTTTTTATTTGAAGATATTTTCTACGTATGTATTTAACGTTTATGTTCGTCTTGTTGGACACTCGTTTTCGTTGCTCAAATGCTCGTTCCGCTCGGCGCATCTTTTTACGTTTCCCTAAAGTCATTGTTTTCATTCTAGATACTGAAATGTATTTCCCAACTTGAATTGGATCAACTTATTGGTACTGGTGTGAAAACGCGATACCTTCACACGGCGTCCAGCGGTTTTACTAATTCACCCACAGCATTCATCGCAAACAACAAGACATCTTATGATGTAACCTCAGGTTGCTTATAACATTGTTGTGACGCTCATAGAAAAATGTCAAATACTAACTTTTGGTGCTTTTCTTTGCTTGTATTTCTATGAAGGTCGGATGCCTGTTGCTGCTGACTCGAAAAAAGCGGCTGGCTCACAGGAAGCCATTGGGGAGACCGCTGCACAAAGTGTTGTCGTTGCAGTTGACAGGTAACGTTTACTTTAATGATAGCTGTGTGGATTGAGTTTTGTGACCTATCTCCTACCCCAGGAGCGAAGATAGAACGTTAATGCAGGGGGAGAGGTGAATATTCATGTATATGGTCATATATTCCGCTGTGACCAACTAATTTCTTTTCAAATTAAAATAGCTTTTAAACCAAATCAGTCAAGCAAAACTAAATATATAAATATTCACCTCTCCCATTCAGCGTTCTGGCTTCACCCCTGCCCCCCTCACGTTGTTATGATGTACTCAGGTATAGTAACAAGATAATCGTTGTCTCCAATGCTCTATCAACTAAACTATCAGATCAACTGTGAACTATGATGATATTTCAAAACACAGTTCTTGTTTCTTTCATATCTTAATTATAAAAACAAGATAATCAATGCCTTCATCTTCAATGTTCTACCAACTATGGTACTTCTCCATCTTAGATAATTTCTGTGCAAGTTTGGGTAGTTGTAACCCTAGTGAAGAAGTTGGAGTTCTTCTGTGTCGACTCTTTGCGACAACTATCCATGAAATTCTTGGAAAAAGGCGAATTGCCAAATTTCCGATTTCAAAAGGATTTTCTCCGACCCTTTGAGTACATAGTGAAGAAAAACAGGTAAGTTTATGCAGGAGTTAATTCTGTCAGAAAATGTAAAGTTTCTGGCAGCTTGAAAATCTTTCTCTCAAATAAACAAAATTTGTGGCAGACTTTGCAGCTTCTTTTCCAAGTTGAAATTTTACGAAGAATTTTACAAAGGACGTCTTTCAATCAATTGCTCTGTTTTGTCTGTTATAATTCGAAGGATTTGATAAAATTCCTTCTTCGATATCTTTATGAACTTGGCAACAAGGACTGCTTTTTTCTGTCTACGATTTGCTTGAATCAATAACTTGTTTTTCACATTTTAGTTCTTCCACAATTCGTGATATGGTCGTACGATGTGTCACACAAATGGTGCATTCGCAAGCCGCAAACATCAAATCTGGTTGGAAAAATGTTTTTTCCGTTTTTCATTTGGCTGCGTCCGATCATGATTAAGAAAGCGTGAAACTCGCTTTTCAAACAACAGGTTTGTAGTTTAAGGAAGGAGGTTTTTCTTCTAATCTTACCGCAAACCTGTCTATTGTGCTCTTGGGTAAGGTTCTTGTATCGGTGTATATTTTAAAATAAAAATGGTTGCATATGTTTGAAGAAATGATGGTGAATTCGTTTTCAATCTTGAACTATTTAGACATCTGTAATATATTTAATTAAATTCAAATTGAATTTGAATATCGTTTAAGTAAATGTGTTTCTCGGATGTGACAGAGAGCTTCGTTTATTTTGCAACAAGAATTTTATGTGTTCGTTCTTTTCCATGGTTATTCAGTCATATTCGTATAAGTTTTCAAGGTAAACTTTTATTTATCATAAAGTCGATGGATGTTCGCCACATGATGCATGAATGAAAATTAAACGAGAGTTAATGAAGAAATGAAATAAATGTATGAAATATTTTTTCGTTGATGCAAATTACGAGTCAAAAGGCAGAGTTATTTAAACTTTTCTAGCCCTGTTTCCTTATTGTTTCAACGTCACTTGTAAATCAAAGCTTTGACTGATTCATTTATCCCACAAGATTATCAGTGTATAAATTTCACATCCCCCATTTTCTCTTACAGCCACGATTTTTGAGAAATATTTCTGCGCGACCATCGAGTCTTTCCAAGATGCCGTCAAGTGTCTCTCGGAATTCGCATGCAACGCAAGTTTCCCGGACACGAGTATGGAAGCAATAAGACTGATACGAAGTTGCGCCAAATTTGTTTCCGAAAATCCTGTGGTACGACGATTGCAAATCTACTTTCTTTTCACCTTTGAAATGATTTAAAATTTCGCAAAATCACATCAAAGCTAACCACTTTGGATCAAATCAAACCCAAATCATCTATTTCAATCGCTTTTTCGTGTAGCATTTTCCAATGGCGTCTGTTTTCTTTTCTTTTACCAACAAATATTTAAAGACTACGGAGTAGAGGATGCTGGGATATCAGAGCAGGACAGAATGTAGGTGAAAGACTGGTTTCCAGCCCTTTTTGAGCTTTTGTGTATCATCAACCGATGTAAACTAGATGTCAGAACAAGGTATGGTGGAAATATTGAGTTGTATGTACTGTATAGATTAGTATGTATTGTATAATTTGAATGTGAGCTATTTTCCATCCATCAACTAGAGGCCTAACCGTGATGTTTGAAATCATAAAAACATACGGGAACACGTTTCTCCAACATTGGTGGCGTTATGCGTTTAAAGTCTTGTTTCGAATTTTCGGCAACATGAAACTACCAGACAGACAGATTGGCAGGAGGTTAGAAAACTGTCATTAATGTGCTCTTATTATAGGACAAGCGTCACTTCCGGCTAGATGTCGCGTTTGATTGGCTAAGAAACATTTTTGTCGGCCCATTATTCTCCCGTAATCGACCACTGTGCAAAACACGTAGTTTATAATATGTCGTTATTGTGGTCCTATTGTCTATGATTGCCATAAACACACATTATATCGCAAAAAGTCAACTTACATACACGACTATCCAGTTCCACATGGAATAATATTCAGTTTATTTGCTCACGTCTATCCACCTTCATTCCTCATTCACTCATCCATTTCAATTGTGTATCCACTCCATTGAACTAAAATACATGGAACGTTACCTGTAATAGAAAACCGTAGTAATTTTTTTAAGCCAAATTTTACACCCAGACACGCATGTGTAGTTTAATCAATTTTCACTCCGCGAGAGAATCTCGAAACACTAAAAACGCGTGTCTGGGTGTAAGATTTGGCTTCAATTATTTGCTTCTTGTAGCTTTCCATGTATTTTAGTTCAATGTTCCCCTCAGATCTTTCTCTATTTCTTATTCACTTCTATCCACTTTCATTCTAGAGTCTCTACTTCATTCTCTATCCATTCTTATCCTCTTGCATTCCCTATTCACACACCGATTGCATTTGGTGTAAACGATTTGTACCAGTATGGAAGGTTTAAAACACTCGTTTTTGAAAGTTACCCACCTGTAAAGAATGCTTTTGCCTTTAAATCAAGAGGGAGTAATGTTAAACTGTGAGAAGGTCGTTTCCTTTACATAGAATAAAGTCCGTATACAAGATGTTGTATTTCCTCGTTATAAAGTTAGACATCAGCTGTTTTGAAATTTGTGATGTTTTTTTATAGAAATCAGAATAGATGACAACAACTTGTAATCACGCTCTATATGCTATCATCGATGTTTTTACTCAGTATTTTGATATTCTTGCTGAAATTCTTCTTGATGATATGTATGGCCATCTAGAATGGTGTGTCAAACAAGGTAAGCTTGAGATTACGCAACGTGTTTGTGCTTGGCGTTTGCCTTGGTGATTGGTTCGTTGTGTCAGAGTTTCTGATTGGTTTGAAGTATGAGAGTTTGTGATTGGTTTGAACTATGAGAGTTTGTGATTGGTTTGGTTTACTATATTACATTACTATAAAAGAAGTATCAGAGTTTCTTACAGGTTCGACTGTAAATGCTTTGTAACACCATGTCCTGCTTTGCTCGTTCATTCAATACATGTCTTTAGATAACGAGCAGTTAGCGAGGTCTGGTACCAATTGTTTGGAAAATCTCGTCATATCCAATGGCAACACGTTCTCCGAAGACGTCTGGGAAAAGACATGTCAATGTGTAAAGACGATATTTGAATCAAACGTATCTCACGAACTATTGAAATGGAGACCTGCTGACCAACAAGTAATGAGTCTACCCACACCCGATGTCAAACCTGCGTCATCACCACTCAAGGTAAGTTACACTTAGGGCCTGATTATATGGAGGGGAGTTGGCCCGGATAGCGAGCTAACCCGATGATTTCAAGGGATTGAAAAGAGCCAAAACGTCAAGGTCTAAAATTACAACTGCTTGCGAAGCGCCACACGTCATTCCGGTTGTAGTTCTCAAATTATGGCAAATTGGTTGTTTTAATTTTAAATGTTTTGCGTAGTTATTAAATCAGAATATTGTGAAACTGCTTGAAAAGATTTATCTGATGATAAGTATTGAATCGTTTCCATTTGCCAAAATGATTTAACGCTTGGCTGAATCCCGGCTACTGGGATCATGTAATCCACCCCTTAGTATTTTTTATGAAGTTTTAAAGCCCGACACTCTAAAATTATAGACAAACTTTTATAACTATTCTGTTTGTTTTATGTATTTATTACCTTTAAGATTGACTGACGTATATTGTAAATAATGTCACATGTCGACCTGGAGGATGATATCGTGCCCAAATATCCCGAAGGTAAATAAAAGTTTGTCAATTCTTTTAAGGAAAATTTAAAGGAAAATTTTTGCTTCAATTATCTCAATGATTATAAGATTGGAAAATATTTCATGGTAAGCTAAAGCTTGCATATTAAAAAAGCTCATTTGAACCAAAAGCTCATATGAAGCAAAAGTTGGCATATTGCAATATAACTCGTGTGAATCTTTAACTCGTATGGACCAACAACTTGCATTCTTTGAGTAACAAGTGAAAATTTTCCGTATTATTTTTCAGATAGGACGAACAAGATGGCCAGCAATCGTCAAAAGGTTTGAATGAAACGGAGGAGGAAATGCCTCAAGAAACAGTTGAAGAAACCAAAGAACAAGACAGCATTAGTTTACATAGTACGCCTAGTTTACGATTTGAACCTGTCGAAGAACACGAACCAGGTAACTATTTGTTAGAAATCAATTGAGATTAATAATTTGGTGTCACAGCCTGCTGCCATTTACGTGTTTAATTTACTTTGGTTTATTGGAAAGGCGTAGCAAAACGTATAATTGATATATGCGTTTGAAAAACTCAATCTGAAGTGAACAGCGACGTCATGTAACATTTCCTGAAACTGCTTATGTTCTAAAAATTTACATTTTTTGCAATGTTTGAAACAATAATGTTGTTAATTGTTACTAATAGAACTAATAATGTTACTAATTAGTAATTATTACTACTTCTCCTGTTAACATTTATTTTTCATAAAAAATAGCACTAACTTAAGAAACTCATTTTTGTTTTATTTTTTTGCATTCGTTGCTTATTTTATTTTATTTCAGAAGACCTCTAATAAGATAAATTAGCCTTTTTGGGGGATATTCAAAAGTTCGATTTTGACCGACAAATGAAAAAATCGTCTGAGCGTGAATACGGAAATGTTCAACCAACACCCGAGTGACATTTTTAATTTTTTCATGTATGTACTTTAACGTCGTAAAATCATCTCATTATTTTAGTTGTGCAGACGGTGAGGATGTTGTTCAATTCATTGATCATTAAGTGTGTCGTTCAATTGGAACTTATCCAATGATCGACAATGTCGTCTTTTTCCCAAGCACCAGCAAGCGAGAAGATGAAGATAGTATGGCTGAATTACAGGTCAGTTGTAATTACAGTCGTTGTAGGTAATACTGAGATAAATTGCTTTGTTGTAATGTTGTTATACCAGAGTTCCCCTTGGTGGCATAACAAAGCTCTTAGCTAAAGCACAGAATATGTAATATACAGAAAAGTCACTTGTGTCTGAACCTTTGATGTTTTTGTCCTCAAGGCTATTGTGACGAGCATATCGACTGCCATTATTCCAGCAAGATATTTAGGGCTTTTCACTTGTTTCCAAACACTAAAATGAAACGACGTCATTTCTCATATTGAAATATTTTTAGTTTCATTACGAAGAAATGACGTCATGTAATTGTAGTGGTTGGAAACAAATGAAAAACCCTAAATATATCTTGCTGGAATAATGGCGGTCATGAAGACGCAGTGCACACTTGAGTGGCCCTTCTGTATAATTATTATTCTGTGGTTGTAGGGTGGGGTGGCCCAAAGTTATATATGCATCTCTTAACCTGTAGAGAACAATTGATTTCACTGGAAGTTAATATAGCAAAACATGAATATGTGAACCTCCCTATTTATCGACTTCACAACTGGTTCCTTCTTCTTTAGACACGTAAAAATTTCAATAACTATCCTCAAGAGACTTTATAGAATAAACGATTTCCTTGGGTTGAATTGCTTAAAGTTCCTTATGTTTTGTATGCAGGCTTGTAAGATCCTCTTTCACCTCATTGGTCAAACTGATGCTCTAAATCACCTATAATGGTGCAGTAAATCCTCTTTCACCTGATTGGTCAAACTGATTCTTTAAATCACTTATAATGGTGTAGTAAATCCTCTTTCACCTGATTGGTCAAACTGATTCTCTAAATCACCTATAATGGTGTAGTAAATCCTCTTTCCCCTGATTGGTCAAACTGATTCTCTAAATCACCTACAATGGTGTAGTAAATCCTCTTTCACCTGATTGGTCAAACTGATTCTCTAAATCACCTACAATGATTCTCTAAATCACCTACGCCGGCATTCGTGTAAAAATAGCCAAATTGCAAATTTCACGAATTTTACTTTTCTTCACGAAATACAAAAAGAAATTGTAAAACTGAACTATGTGATCACCGGAGTGTTATCGTGATAATTACACTATTATATACACAATGGAAGTCGGACTATTTAGTTAAAAAATATCCATTTGAATACCATATGTAGCTACAACCGTGTTTTTCCAGAGATTGTCAACCATAATCCAATCAAATGCGCTCTTTTAGGGTTTTGTATCTTGGTTTTTGACGTTTATTCACCCAGAGCTCAACTTTCATACAATTTCATGTCTTGACATTGTTATAAGTAACAACGATACACTGTAGTCAGAGTTGTTTACTTTCAATAATCGTACATGTCTCATTATGATTGGTGACTTAGTTTTTCATTATTTCAAGGGTCTCAACACTCCTCGACGAACCGCTAAACGAAAACACGTCGGAATGTTTCCACATCTTACCTCTAATCAGCTGTTTTTGTTTTGCGAAGTGCTGGAGAACTCGTTTAAGTTTGCTAAACGCTTCAATTGTAACAACGAACTGAGGACGGCGCTTTGGAAAGCTGGTAAACGCTTCATTAATATGTTGTAGCATTTGACACGAGCGACACATTTTTGTACAGTTTGTATTTGAATTGAAAATTAATACACGAGTAAAAACATCACATTCAAAACGTTCAGGCAAAAAAGCAAATTTGTGGCTGCCCTTCCTATTAAGGCATTCACTCCAAAAGCGGTGCATGTCCTTATACCTAGACACCCACATGCAGCGTGACCAAGTTTCTTTACCAGATTTTGTCGTATGAACTTAAACTGTCCTCCCCCCCTTTTCTGAATGTTGCATCTACATAAAACAGGTGGGAAAATCTAATGTCATTAGACCAAGTCTTGTGAAAGTAAAAAACATTTGCTTTTATGGTTATACTGCACGCATGGTTTTTTCTGATAAATAAAGATTGAGGACACACAAGTAAACTTTTCCCTTGCTTCATTCATTGTACACTTCTCTGTATAATTTCTTTGATCATTTGAAGGTTTTAAAGGACAGTCGAAGACCAATTTATTGAAACAAGAGACGTCCAGTTTAGCCTGCCGTTCAGAATTCTCTTTCGCATGTACGATGACGTTGCGAGAAAGGAATCATGGGAAGGCGTCGTGGAAATGGTGTTGAGGTACGCCTGGGGATTAGCAAGATCATCAAACGATTTTCATCCCCACTTTCAGAAAGAATTTAAACTTTTCCTCGAGGGCTTGATTTGATTTCTTTCTTTTTTCTTTCTTTTTAGGATCTGCGATGAAGCTTTAAGGCAGTTCATTGAATTACAGTCAGTTGGTCACAGGGATGCTTGGACGAGTTTACTATTGCTTATGTTTACCAGAATTCTTCGTTTGAACGATGAAAGAGTGAGTTGTGATTTTTTATATGGTTAAATGATGGAAATGATGTGCCGTGTCGCACTCCCCCTGTCTTGTAAAGTACGAGCATGTGCTTTTCGAAACTCAAAGACTGATTCCCATCGACCGCCGTACCATAGCGTGTAAACATGCCTTCTTCATAAAAGTTATGGTTGTAGACAGTTTGAGATAGAGCTTTTTGTTGAAATTGAACTCTTGTTTATTGATAGTTTGTATGGAGGGTGATCTCCCCCAAAATTAATAGCTATATTTTCAATTACTAATGCGCATTTTGCCCTTTGCGATGTGCATTTTGTCTTGATCATATTCCATTCTGGAATTTCATGATCGGATTTTGTCCTGTACAATTTCTGGTAAAACTCATTTTGTTGTTGAACATTTCATTATGATGACGTAACATTATTCGTGACTCAGTAAACATCAAATCTTACTCAATCACATTATAATTTATTTATAATTATTTACCGCTAAAAATTGTTAATATCAATAAATTATACTGTTGCAATATTTTATGCAATTACTATAACGATCTTTGTCCTTCGAAGCAACTTTAGTATTCTGTACAAAAGAAACGATTTTTTTTGTACGGGGGATGATAATGGACCGGAAAATCAAGAGGCAGCAGCTTCACTTCGCCGAACAGCAAATTTACTGAATCCAGACTCTTCTGGATCAGCAAGTCTTAGATCTTCATCGACTGCTCAAGATGGTAATCTTGCCGATCATGGAGCTGCTCAAAGTGTCCAATCGTCAACACTAGACAGCACATTGCAAGAACAACATCAGGCTTCGTCATCTCAAGCTTCCACATCAAGATCATCTTGTTCGATAAGAGAGCAGGAGTTTAGGCGGTTGTTTGCACCGTATAATCGAGCTAACAATAGAAAGATGTTTTCTCATCCACCAGCAAAACGTGGTCGATCTAATTCGTGGGGACAACAAGGTCGGTGTTACAAACCACAAGAGACTTGGACTCACGATTTTTTTGCCTGCAAACCATGAGCAAGATAGTGCCTACTAGAATGGAAAAAATTAAATTACAAAAAG